TTTTTAATTAAAAAAAATACACTCAAACTAATTAAGATTTAATTAAGTATTAGTTACACTTGGTATTTACAGGATGCAGCTAGCATTTCTCAAAATAAAAATTAGCATTTCAGCCACTTAACTTCAAAACTCTTTTTGATGATGGTTAAAGAGATTTTTTTTTTTTTTTTTTTAATTGGTAATGGATGGTGGTTAAAAGAGATGTAAAACGTAGTGGCTTTAACTTTTTATGTATTTAAAGATATGTAAATTTCACTAGTGAAGGCTTTTGTAAAGTTGATAACATCGTCACTGCAGTGCTGGTAGTCAATTAACAATTATTCGTGATGTTTCTTTGTCCACGATTTGAGTGACGCGATTGCATCAAAACATTTTTTTTTTCACATCTACAAAAAAATGAAATTGAAAAAGAAAAAATATGTAAAAAATTATGTGAATTTTATTTTTTTAATTTAAATATATTAATTTTATTAATTTTCAATATTATTATTTAATTAACTTTTAGATAAAAATTAAAAATTAAAACTATTATTTAAAAATAATAAAATTAATATTTTTAAATAAAAAATAAAAAATAATATTTTTAAATAAAAATTTTAAAATTAATATGTTTAAAAAATTTAAAAATAATATTTTTAAATAAAAAATTAATATTAATATTTTTAAATAAAAAATAAAAAATAAAAAATTAATATTTTTATTTAAAAACTGTCAATGTCTGCTTCCTTAATTTGTACATTTTCCCCCAACGCCCGTATCCAAATCCTTAAAATTACCCTCTGAAAGCCTGTATTTTTTCCGGCAGTCTTCGCTGCTGAAATCCGACAACGTTTTTTTTCGGTACATAAAATCCGACAACGTTGAATCCTCCAATTGTGTGCCGTTGAAATCTAGGTATCGGATAGTAGGATGCCGGTTTTCAAAACCCCATTCAACGGTTACTCCGTCAAGTTGTCCCCTTTCTACGAGTCCGGACTTGCCGTCGCCACTGCTCAGAACTTTGGCATACTAGGCAACGGCCGCCTCCACGTCCTCGACCTTTCCCTTACCGGCCCCGCCATCACCGAGCTCACCGCCTTTGACACTGCTGACGGTCTATAGGACGTTGTATGGTCTGAATCCCATGATTCCGTCCTTGTTGCTGCTATCGCCGACGGCTCCGTCAAGCTCTACGACACCTCCCTCCCCCCACAATCAAACCCCCTCCGTTCCCTCCAGGAGCACGGGCGCGAGGTCCACGGACTCGATTACAATCCGACCCGACGCGATTCCTTCCTCTCCGCTTCCTGGGACGACTCTGTTAAACTGTGGACACTCGACCGCCCCACCTCTATTCGTACATTCCAACTTCCAAGAGCACGCCTATTTTGTGTACTCCGTTGCATGGAATCCCAAGCAGGCCGATGTTTTTGCCTCCGCGTCCGGTGATTGCACCGTTAGGATATAGGATGTGAGAGAACCAGGATCCACAATGATTATTCCTGGCCATGGGCATGAAATCCTAGCTTGTGATTGGAACAAATATGATGATTGTTTGATTGCCAGCGCAAGTGTTGATAAGAGTATCAAAGTGTGGGATGTGAGGAACTACAGGGTTCCATTGACTGTGCTTAATGGGCACGGCTATGCTGTTAGGAAAATAAAGTTCTCCCCCCACGGGAGAAATTTGATTGTGTCTTGCTCCTATGATATGACTGTGTCTTTGTGGGATTTTATGATTGAGGATGCAGTTGTTGGGAGTTATGATCACCACACAGAGTTTGCAGTTGGGGTGGATATGAGTGTGCTTGTTGAAGGGCTTATGGCAAGTACAGGGTGGGATGAGCTCGTTTATGTTTGGCAGCAGGGGATGGACCCAAGAGCAGCGTAAAGAGGGAAGCTTTTCTACATTTTTTTATTTTGTCATACTTAATTTTCATAAATGTGAATGAGTACTGGCATGTTTGATAGGGTCAAACTGATGAGTGATTGCTTGGGAGATTGAAAAAGGCCATGGTGTTGCTCTTGTTGTTGATAGTGATTTTAATTTTGCTATAGCAATCACATGCCTTTTGCATTGCAGTTCTCAATGAATAACTTCATGTATGAATTATGATCCCCTTTATATCAGTTTTTGTTAGTGAAGGAGGTTTTATATTTGGGCTGGAGAGTTGTGTAAGAACATCAGTCAAGGAAACAGCCTTTCCCTCTCTTTGGGTACACCATAAAACATTCAATGTTCACAGTGATCGTGAAGAAGGCTAAGACAACATGGGAATAGAAATTTGAATCCAATTGATACTATCATGGCTAATTAATCCACAGTTGAGAATGAGTTCTGTTCCAAATTGAGACCCATTGCATGACAGCACCTTAAACTGTTGCAAGTAAGTCTTTGTTGATTGTATGATAACTTCAACAGGTCTGAAATTCAGGATAAGATTTTGCTGGATTTTGTCTCATTTGCTTGTGCCCTGAATTTCAAGGGCTGAGAAGTTTCTTAAGCCGTAAGTGTACCAAGTCAGAACCTGTTGGTCTTGCTGCCTGAGTGATTCCATTTTGGAAAGTGTTTTGCAATTGTTGATGCATGGCTCAGAGGTACATGGATAGCTTCGTAGATGGCCTTAGATCTTCTGGTGTTCTGACTGATAGAAGCATTAGGATAGATGTGGTTGTTTCTTCTATGAGTTGTGATATGTAAGGAAACCATAACATGGAAACTGGTAATCTTTTCTGCATCTATTGTTCCTATATTACTTTGCGGCAAAAGCCTATTTTTGGTCCTTTACCTTACTAGATTTGTAGATTTTAGTCCCTCACATTATATTATGACACTTTTAGCCCCTCACCTATTAGAATTAAAGAAAATAGTCCTCACTTATAACATTTTGTTAGTTATGTTAGCTGATTGTTAACTCTATTAGCTGACTATTAGCTGACTGTTAGCTAGCAAAAACTTACTTTCATTTAACAGAGTTAACAATCAGTTAATAGAACTATTCTGTTAGCTGACTATTAGTTAATTGTTAGCTGGCAAAAACCTATTTTCAACTAACAGAGTTAACAGTCAATTAACAGAATTAACGAAATATTATTAAATGAGGGGCATTTTCTTCAATTCTAATAGGTGAGGGGCTAAAAGTGTCATAGTATAAGGTGAGGGGTTAAAACCTATGAATCTAATAAGGTAAAGGGCCAAAAGTAGATTTTTGCCTTACTTTGCAGGGTACCAAATATCCATCTTGTTTGTAGAATGGTTTTTGAGGCCAAGTCAACCTAACGTCAAAATCAAAGTTTTTTCTCAAAGCTTAAGTTATATGATTAAAATGGGTATAATGCAGAACCAACAATCCCTCTATTGTCTCAAGGGGCTGCAACAAGCAGAAACTCCAACAACAGCAAATAGATATGCTATTTTTGCATTGCTGCAATAGAAATGATGGTCACAATCTCTGTTCTTTAGAACTTTTTTTCTTGGTCATGTGTTTCCCTGCCTCATGTGTTCGTCTTTCTGAAGCATTTAACACATAGGCCTTTGCATGCGTGTAAAATTATTGAAAAAGGTAACTAGAGCTTTAGTTTAAATTATTATGTTGCTATGTACTTTATGATATTTTAAGGTTATATATATCATGGTTTCTTTTGTTTTCCGGCAACAACCAGATGCACAATGTGTATACATACATGAAATTATATATTGTGCTCAGTAGTGAATTTGTTTGTGTTAGACTTGGGCTATCTTTTGCCAGGAGGTCAAGCCAGCCCAACCTTCTTCTTCATCTTCTTTTTTGAAGATTTTTCATTTTACACCCGATTGATGTTGCTCTTTTATTCTTTTGTTGGTTTTGGATTGAACAGTGCTAAGATGTAGAGCTTAAAGTCAAAAAAGGCCAGCACAAAGTTGCCTGTTGGTTAGATTAGCTTGAGGTTTGGCTGGTTATGATATATTCATAAATTGCAGCTTTGTCTTTGATCATTAAGATGAAGCATTGAAGCCTGAAGCTGGTAAGTTCTCCTTACGTGAAAGAAGGAATTGCATGTTTATACTTTATGTGGTATTTGAGGTCTACTTGCATGTTCCTTGGTCAACCCTATGTGTGCATTACCTTTATGTACCCCTTATAGCTATATAGGGACAGTTCCATAATACACTTTCGTATGCTCATCTGATAAAATTATCATTGCATGAAGCAGCAGGTCTGTAGGCATGTGGAGAGGGTATAACTTAATGCATAGAATCTGAATCTTTACAAGACAAATTAATTCTCTTATAAGACCATCCATTTGGTTTCAAAGTTCTAGCTTGCTTTTGTAACTTGAACAAGTGCAGTTAGGGTTTAAAAGATTCTCTATTTGTATGCATGCATGTGCAGGCACACAAGTGTCTGTCTGCATTCTGATTTCTGAAAGATATGCCTGGTTCGTTAAATTACATGTTTGTTGCATCTTTTATATGCTTCTCTGGCTTTCAGTCGCAGGATTCTACCAGCATGTAACTGGATAACATGCATGAATGCTTGTGCTGATTAAGAAAAAAAAAACGTGCATATATGCTTGTGCATGTTTCTTTCCCTTTTCTTGTCATTTGGTTCATGGGTTGGGGAGGGCGGGGGGTTTGCCTTTTTGGCTGGCTATGGCATCCTTTCAGTGCAATGATGGAAGGATTTTCAGTGCAAGGACTTATGAAAGGATTTTCAAGCATAATTGAGATAGTCTTCACTGCATGTTTCTTGTAATTTCCTTTTGTACTGTAATTGTTTTTTGGACCAACCTTTTGTACTGTGATTCAAACATCCAACATACAATGTATTTTGCGTACAAACTCATATGCTGTGTACTATGAAGTTGTGACAAAGACACCTTAGATGCTTAATGCGTCAAAAGCATCTTGTCTAGGATAATTCTTCCAACTTGACAAGTAGCTTATGGCTATCTTTCCGATTCCAACTCCACTTTAGTACTTTACTGAGACAGGATTTGATGTTCTTAAGCTGTCATTTCTCTGAAGAGAGATATTATGCCCACCAAAGCCTAACATTATGAAGAATCCATATTAAGGCACAAGCAATATAAAAGCAGGCAAAAAACAAGATTGCTGAGAATCAGAAGATCGTGATACAGCCACACAGGGAAAGCAACCACAGGGTGATGGTGCAATTTCCAGGTAATAACTTCATTTCTTTGTTCTTCTAGCAACTTATAAAATGTAATCTTTGCTTACTTTTGTTATCTGGTCTAGGAGGAAAAGCTTTTCCCATATATACACTGATTGGCTCCAATACCTTTCTTTTTACTAAATAATCTATTCTACCTTTAATTAGTGTTTTGATTCCCAGAACTAGTGGACCCTCTTATTCCTTTTCTGGTAATAACTATTTCTTGGTCAAAACATAACATTAAAGTGAATTATGGAGAGAGAGTATGCATATTAGGAATGACTAGATGAAATAAGGTGGTAATGAGCACTAACATCTCTCCCGTAAGATTTAGCTATTCTACGTCAATTCTCACCTTCTAGATGAACATTGTTGCAAATAAGGAATGGGTATTCCTCTTATACCATACTCTCTCTCATCTTTTACCCTAATTTTAAGCTTTGATCATGAAATAGGCATTTCATCCAACCAAACCAGCCCACTTCTAGGAAACACTAATTTTTTTTGTTGGTGAGAATATGCTATGCCCTAAGCAGCAATGGTTGATTAGTTGGGGGTAAAAAAGATTCACCAGAAGTGAAAAGAGAGCATGAGCTTTTATGAAGCATCAGTCATCAAGGATTCCAAATCTTTTAAAAAGGAAAAGAAACAAAGCAAAAGCAAATATGTCTTGGAGACTTTAATACCACACAATCTTGTGATTAATAAGAGTTGGTGTTATATTTTCTCAAACACTATTATCTCAAAAATGACACAATAGAAATTGGAGACCCTTAACTCTGACGTGTGTGAATGGTACTTAATCTTAATTGCATTAAATTCCAAGTTGAGGTTGGTAGCTACAGCCAGTGGATGTCATTTCAGATGGTAACCTCACACATACCTCCAATTTCTCTAATCCATGTGGGATGGTGGTGGCCACTATCCACACTATGTTTATTCTTCTGGTATTTTCCTTTTGGCATTTGCTCTTTAGTGTCATTTTTACTTTCATGTTTTGCACATTAATAGAAAAGAATCTTAAAATCACCAAGTTATAAGGCGACCTTAAGAACCACAAGAATCTGCACCCACTCAAGAAAAAAGGAGAAGAAGAGAAGATTGGTGTTTATAGTTGTACCCTGTTGGATATTGTTCATACAGTTCCAAGGTTGATTTGCAGCCATAGACATAGCAAAATCTAACAACCACCGCCCCCCGCCTCCCCCTCCCTCCTTTTTTTTTTTTTTTTGTTTTTTTATATATAATTTTTGAAATGATTCATGCAGTCACAATTACAGCGAGGGTGGAGAATTTTAACACGACACTTTTGTTGGGACTCCAACTACCGCCCCTTTACCACATGATCAAGAGATCTCATCGGTGGCATAAGTATGTCTCTTCAACCTAATGAAGAGCTAAAGTGAGAATTTGGTACATTATTGGTGAAGTGAAAAAAAGGACTTGGGATGAATTTTGATGCTGGTTAGATCTCAGGGATTCATCTTCATCACTTAAAATAAACATTCCCAAAATAAAAAGACGTATTGGCTTATTGCTGCTTATACTAAAGACGAAATATCAACAAAAAGGGAAATGAGACTTGGCAAAAGGGGATGATGGAAGCGCATGGGATGAGTAGCTCTTTTCCCAAGTGGTAGCCCCCAAAACCATTGCTCCTACTCTCCTCATGTGTCATTTATCTGTTGTGTATCTTTATCTTCTCGGTAAGAGAGGCCATCCTTCATTCCCTTTCGTTTTCTCTTCTCTAAGGCCACCAGTTTCATTACTCACTGTATCTTTATCTTCGTCCTCAGAAATGCCATCTCAGCTACACCAGCTTCCACTTTCATCTCCACAATAATATTCTTCTCTTTATCCATCTCTCAAACCTGAAAATCTTTTTCTTCATTCTCACAACTACACCTCGGATGCACGAGTACCTTCTCTTCGGGCCATCAGTTTCCATTATTCACACAGATTCTCTCTGTCTTTCCTTCCTTCTTCTACACCAATCCCCTTGAATCTTCATCTTCATCCTCACGCTTCACCCTGTGGTAAAAGAATAGTTCTCTGTTCTTTTCCAATCACCATATGTTATCTTCACTTTCACACCACATAAAAAGATACAATGTTTTTTAACCACCAGTTTGAGTTTCTTGAATCTTTATCCTCGTTTTGACGCCCCTTGTGATCTCTCCTATATATAAAGATCGTAGATTTTCTGGTTTACATATCATACTTTCATCCCTCATTTATAGATAAAGAAAAAAGAATGGCCGAAACCCCAAACATAGTTTACTGCCGTGAAATTCCAGATGTGATTCTCTCCATCATATTCTCCTTAGTCACTGATACCCGAGCTCGCAATGCCGTTTCCCTTGTGTGTATCAAATGGCACTTGCTTGAGCGCTCCACCCGCACCTCCCTTACCCTCCGTGGCAATATCCGCGACCTTGTCCTCCTCCCAACATGTTTCCGTGCTGTCACCCATCTAGACCTCTCTTGCATATCCCCATGGGGCTACCCTCTTCTTGATTCCTCCTCGGATCCACCACTCATTGCTCAACACCTCCGCATTGCATTCCCCTCTGTTGTTTCCCTAACAGTTTATGCACGAAATCCTTTCACTCTCGGTCTTCTTGCTCCTCAGTGGCCTAATTTGCTCCATGTTAAGCTCATTCGGTGGCATCCCCGTCCGCCTGTTCCTCCTGGGGCAGACTTTCTTCCCTTGTTTGAACATGGCCACTCACTTTCTTCCCTTGACCTCTCCAATTTCTATTGCTGGACGGAGGATCTCCCACCAGCACTCCAGGCACACCCTTCTTTTGCTACTTCTCTTTCCCATCTGAACATCCTCAGACATTCTTTTTCTGAGGGATTCAAGTCTCATGAACTTTTAGCCATCACCGCGGTCTGTCCAAACCTACAGAAACTTCTTGCTACTTGTACATTCGACCATAGATTCATTGGCTTTGTCAGTGATGAAACTTTGCTTTCTCTTGTTTCTAACTGCCCTCGTCTTTCCCTCCTCCACCTCGACGATACCAAAGCTGAAACAAATGACGAAGGCTACACATCCGAGGATGCCAGGATCACCCACACTGCACTCATTGATGTTTTCTCCGGTTTGCCTTTGCTTGAAGACTTGGTCCTCAATGTTTGTCACAATGTTAGAGATGCCTGGCAATCCTTGGAGCTGCTTAATTCCAAATGTCCCCGGATGAAGTCCCTGAAATTAGGACAATTCCATGGAATCTGCAGAGATACAGATTCCGATGTACCTAACGGAATTGCTGTTTGTGTAGGGTTGGAATCTTTGTCCATCGAGAACTCGGCGGACTTAACTGATTCAACATTGGTTGCAATCTCTCATGGTTGTCCTAATCTCTCCAAGTTTGAAGTTCAAGGATGCAACAGAATAACAGAAACAGGGATATCTACATTTGTTCGTGTTCTTCAGAAGACTCTAGTCAATGTTAAAATCTCCGATTGTAGGAACCTCAACGCTGCCAGCTCATTAGACGCCCTGGAACCAATACGGACCCAGATAAAACGACTACATGTAGACTGCGTTTGGGGAAGCATCGGAAAACCAGAAACCGAAACGGCTAGTTCTTCTTCAAATAAACGACCGCGGACGTCTGAAGAAACAGGGTCGAAGAAGAAATCGAAGTATTACAGTGGAGATGGAAATGAAGGTTTAGTTAATTCAAGAACATGGACGAAACTGGAGTGTCTTTCCCTTCGGATCGCCGTCGGCGAATCGCTCAACCCATTAACTATGGTGGGTCTGGATAACTGTCCTGTTCTAGAAGAGATAAGGATTAAAACAGAAGGCGATTGCCGGCAGCGGCCGAGGCCCTACGTGGACGCATTTAGGTTGAGCTCGCTTGCCGGTTATCCAAAGCTATCAAGGATGGAGCTAGACTGCGGCAGCGCAATTGGGTATGCTCTGACTGCGCCGTTAGACCATGCCGACCTGAGTTTGTGGGAGAGGTTTTTTCTGATGGAAATTGCAGATTTGAATCTGAGTGAGCTCAACTACTGGCCTCCGCAGGACATGGATGTGAACCAGAGGAGTTTGTTACTACCGGCGGCGGGATTGCTTGCTCAATGCCGGAATCTGAGGAAACTGTTCATCCACGGAACGGCGCATGAGCATTTCATGATGTTTCTTCTTCAAATTCCGACTTTGAGAGATGTGCAATTAAGGGAAGATTATTATCCAGCGCCGGAGGATGATTCCAGGACGGAGATGAGAGTCGACTCCTGCTACCGGTTTGAGGATGCCCTCAATCGGCGGCAGATACCTGACTGAAATCACGCATCCAATAAAAAAATTTATAAATTGAAATTTGGCACAAATTTTGTCATATATATATATATATAATTATTGAATAAAGAGCTACTCTTAGTATTTAGGCGATAGGGAATATTTGCACCCTCCACTTAATTGTTTTGCACGGTTAACACCTTTCAAAATTTTTTTTCTTTATTCACACCCTTAACTTTTCAAAACTTGTGAAAAACTCAACATTTTAACGTACCGTCATGGTACCATTACAAAATGTACTACGTGGCACTATATGCCGTTAATAATCCAATGTGAATCTCTTTTTTAATGATGTGGTTTATTTTACATACTTTTTTAATGATGTGGCTTATTTTACATATAAGTGGACGCCACATCATTAAAAATAAATTTGCATAACCATTTTGGGAATTTAGGGTTTATTTTCATCCCCTTCTTAATCTTCCTTGAGCTTTCCATCCATGGTTCTAATGGAGGTTGATTCAAATTGAAAAAAAAAAAAGAACAATCTTTTAATTCATTTGCAAGAAACGTTGAGAACCAATCAGAGAATCAAATCGTTATCTTATTATTCTATCATAACCAGAAACAATCACAGAAAAGAAAGGCGAAAGAAAGGTACAAATTGGGTTCCTCACGAACCCAACTTTGGGTTTCACAGAGCTGGGTTTGGCAAAAAAAACTAGCTGCAAGCCCCCCCCCCCTTTAGACTCCGATCTTCATCATCCCATCATCATCGATCATCACTCTTATCACCATCACCCTCATCAATCCCCAAGCAACCAAAAAAAGAAAAAATCCTTCTCCCAGC